TTTGGATAATAATTAATAAGCTTGAGTCGGAAACACACGGTGTTGGACAAATGTTTTGTCACTTTTAGTGGAAAAACTTTTTTCACCAACCACCCTTTTGGTCCAATAGATATAATTTCGTCGAAAAAAAGTAGTGGTATTTAAAAAATTTTAAATTTAATTTTTGACAATTCTTATTTTTAATTTTTTAATTGTATTAATTTAAAAAAATAAATCTTTTTCGCAATTAGCTCTTTTTCTTTTTCAATTGTATTGATTTTTTTTTTTTTGAGTTTTTATGTTTTTTTTGGGCACTAAAATGACTAAAAAAATCATTAATAAATAAATATAAATAAGAGGTTTATTAGAAATTTTTTTAATAAATTTATGAATTAGACTTCACAATAAAAATGCAAATCTAAAAAATATTTTTATGTTTTCTTATACGGCTAAAAGAGTAATTTCGGCTTGTAGATTATGATTAGGAATGGAGGGGAAGAGGGGAGGGAATTTTCTACCGATTACATAGGTTAAAACAATTTTTCTCATCTCCACTCCCTTTAAATTAAACATCTTATAAAAACTACGTTACAAAAAAATTCACATTTAGTAATTAAATTATTGATCATTAAATCTTTATTTTTTATTATAAATTATTATTAGTGATAAAATTTAAACCGTTAGTAAAACCTTTGTCACTAATGCTCATAGTGACAAATTAAGTACCTGTCATAGAAAATAATCTTATAATGATTGAAAAAATTAACATTGTTAACAAGTTATTTATAATAATTTTATTTGTCACAAAAAAATAATTTTTGTTATAATAATTTTCATAACAAATGTTACAATTGAGTGACAAAAAAATAGTTACAAACGCAATTGTGATAAAAAAATTTAGTCATTAACTATTAAAATTGATATTAAATAAAAAAAGATATTTATATAATTACAATACAAATATTGTAACAAAAATTTTGTCATAAAAAAATAATATATAAATTTATCACAAAAGTTTAATGAAAAATATTATTATTTCAATACTAATCAATTTTAATTAAAATTAATCAAGCCCAATTAAAATTAATCAGTCCAAGCTAATCTCATGTTTTATTGAGTTTCATATGTTTTATAGTGCAAAAATTTATTTTCTTAAATATTTCTCATCGATGTGAGATATATTTATAGTGCAAAATCTTATTCTTTTATGTGTTTTTTATCGATGTGGGATACATTGATTAGAGAAAACTGACGATTTTTAGTGACAAAATATATTTTTAGTATTGAATTATTTAGTCATCATTGAATGTGTAAGGTATATGTGACCAATATTAAAATTCTGTCATAATTGTAATGCATTATAGTGACGAACTTTTATCGACAAAAACTTATTTTATCTCTATAAACATTTTTCGGTGACGAAATATATTTTTTATGATGAATTTTTTTCTTCATCATTAAACATATATGCATCTATGACTAATTTTTTATATTCGTCACAATTATGAAAGTTATAGTGATGATTTCAAAATTCATCACAAATTTCTATCACTAAAAATCATTTTTCTTGTAGTGCTAGCATGATGCAAATTTAGGT